TGCTCGAAATTGTAATTGGAATACTTGAAGGAAGAATGAGAGTTGGAGAGGCAGAGGAGGAAAATATTAAATTTGTGTTTTTAATCAATTAAATTTTTTTTTGTACTTTAAATCACATTCTCACTTCCTTTTAATTATTTTAAACTGAATTTTATTCATTAATGTAATGTCATTTACAAATCTTTCCCATTATTTGTTTTGGTTTTATTAATCTTAAATTTTTTTATAACATGCCTTACCTGTAATTTCAATTCCTTCACTTAATCAAAATTATTTAAATTTATTAATTCAATTTTAATCATAGTTCATTTATTTATACATTTTAAATGTCAATCAAAATGTTTTCCCAATATTTCTTACCTATTGCTAATATATACTTAAATTTTTTTTTAACTTATGCCAATTTGTATTATTCCACTTATAATTACATTTTGTCATTTTTTTTACAAAATTTTTACCCTCACTTAAATACATTTTATAATTATATTTTTAAGCTTAAACTCTCACTGATTACATTAAATTTAATACATTTATTAGTTTCATATTTTAAATGTTTAAATTCTCAAATTTCACTTAATTTGTTACAAATTTTTACAATTATATTTATAAGACTTACTCCCTCACAAATTATTTACATTTACTCTATTAATTTTTAAAGAATCTTTCACAATTACATTTAAAAATATCCCAAATTTTTTTTAAATTACTATTTATGCTCTTCTATTATATAATTCCCAACTTCAAAATTATTGTTTTTGCAAACTTTTAAAATATACCCATTTATACCCACAAATCAAATGTTATTTATGTCAAAACTTTTACATTAATTTTAAATGTTTATTCAAAATACTTAAAACTTTTTCTATTAACCTTTCAACCAAACCATTTATACCCAAATTTATTTTGTACGTTATTTTTAGAATATTCCTTTTCCAATTCTCTAAATATTTTCTATTACAAGTTTTACTCCACTCATTTGTACCCAATTTTTTTTTGTCACATTTCACAAACACTTCGGTAGTTTTCTGGATATTTTTAAATTTTATTTCACACAATTGATTTATGAATTTATATTTTTATTCAAAGCGTTACCCGTTTAATTTATTTTATAATTTCACAAACATTTCAATGTCACAATTTATCCTTATTTTTAATTTTTGAAATTTATATGCATTTTTACTCGTACCCATATTTTAATACAAAAGGAAACATACTCACCTGAAACCTGAAGAAATTTTAGGAATACAACCCCAACTAGACTAAACAGACTCTGAAACTCTTACAATTACAATTATATCAAACCCCACTACTTAATAATATCAAGTGAAATTTCTCATGAAATAATCGATAAGCACTAAAAATGGACCAGGGTCGGTCCAAAAAAGGAAAAAGGAGAGATATGCTCGAAGAGCACAAAAAGAAATGTGATAAATAAAGAAGAAATTTAAATTAGGTTCGCCATCTCACCAGAGTGCTTATCGATTGAGAAAATAAATGTGAATGGTCATTATTTAAGTAGTTTGGGAAACGATGAAAAATTAAATTTTGAAAAATAAAATAAAGTCTGTTAAGTCTAGATTAAGACCAGGGACGGTCTTGATGGGGAAGGGACGTGTAAGGGTCAAAGGTATTCTCGGAGTTTGTTTCCTATAGTTTATAGTCATTTCATTATTATTCATTTCCCTCCCACTTTTCTCACACATTTAAAAGGATTTGTAATCACCTTACAAGTGTCTTATTGTTCATTCACTTTAATGAAATAAATAATGTTTTAATAAAGCTTTTAATATTTGGATTTAATAAATATATAAATTGTGTTCAATTGTGTATGCCTGGTGCAGGAGATCGACCGGGGGCCTGATCAACCCTTTGGTTCCTCTTAGGAAGTCCCGGGCATATCCCCTCCCGTATTCCATCATTCTGGGGTTTGGGCCCACCGCATGGTAATATCTTATTCCGGGGGTCCCACCTCTACTTTAGACAATTCACATCATTTTCTTTAATTTTTTTCTATTTTTCTAATTATTAAATAAATTTTTTTTATTTTATTTTTATAAAAAGAATTGGATACTTTTGCGCATGAGCAAGTAAATAAATTAATAAATGAAGAATAAAAAGAATCAAATTCCATTTTTAAAGGGATTTGAGGAAAAAATTAATTTTACGTCAATTCCCTCCCTTCCCCCTTCCCCTCCCTACACTTTTCCAATTAGTATGTAAAAATTATTATTTTTATTTAAAAATGCTTTTGAATTATTCATTAATTTTAAATAAAATAAATATTTATATTTTTTTTTGTAATTGCTAGACAACAAACAAACAATATTTTTTCCAACTAATTTTTAACTTTTATTTATTATTCAATTTAGTATACGCTTAAATTAAATGAATCGTTTGTACTATTTGCTGGTCTGGGAAATAGATAATCTTAGTGTGATAAATTTTTATCAAAAATATAGATCAAAGGAATTTAAGAGATCGGTGGATGCTTTTTGAATTTATATAGGGAATTTTCTATAATTGTTTTCTATTTTTGTTTATCTCTCTTTACTAATTAATTAATTTATCTAAACAAATATTTATTTATTTATGTTAATTTAATATTTTTATTGTCTATAGGGCTTCTCAAAAGGAAAGAAATTTTTTGTTTAGTTTACCTATTTTCTTTTATTTTTCTACGTAATTTACAAAAATAGAATTTTATTTTCCTTTTTTGGATTACCTAAATATTTATTTAAAATAAATAAATAAATAATTTTTTTTCTTTTATTCAAATTTATTTTTTTGATTTTTTTCTTTCTTAAAATTTTAAAAATAAATTTTCCGGATAATCAACACCTTTTTCTCTTTTTTTAAAAGCAATTTTTGATTAAATTTTGATTTTCAAAGAGAGAAAGAAGAAGAGGTATTTTCGGATACTAAATTTTACTTTAATTTCACGTCAAAGCACAATCAAATAGCTGGATATCCTAATCCTTTTTTTATTTTTAAAAGACAAAAAAAAAAGTAAAAAAATCTTTCGGAAATGGGATATTACGGCGCAGAGAACGTTAAAACCGTCTTTAAAATTTTCCAAATATGTAAACACGTTTATAAAATTTTAAAGAAAAACTTTGAAAAAGAGAAGGTATTTAATTCTTAAAATTTTAGAATTTTTGGTTAGGTATTCTGTTGGATAGGTAGATATACTAATTCGAAAAATGTTGGTGTATTTGTTTAGCTTTTCAACAATAATATTTTTATAGAAAACTAGAATTTTTTAGAAAATCCTAAATATTCTTTCAGATTTTACTTTTTTTGACGTCTAGCGCCGAAAAATCCCCAAAAAAAGTTATCTTTCTTTTCCAAATAAAAGCAATTTTCTATTTTATTTTTTATTTATTTATTTCCGATTTTATTCTTTCAATTTTTTTATTTGAAACAATACTTATATATTTTTATTTTTTTTTATTAAATTTAATGTTCATTTAAATATTTTTTCTTCAAAAAAATTATATATTTAATTTTTAATGTTTTATTTTTTATTTAAAAAATTCTAAAAATACATATATGTATTTCCAAAATAATTTTATTTTAAATAAATATTTTTTTAAAAATTAAATTTTGAATAGAGCAAAAAACACAAAAAAAAATTTTCTCAGAAAATTATTCAAAAATAAATTTTTTTAAATTTGATATCTTTTTTTTATTTTTAATTTTCTCCAATTACTAATTTTTTTTCTTGATAAAAATTTTTTTAAATATTAAAACAGTTGTTCCTTTTTAAAAGTGATTTAATAAAAAAGAGCAGACAAAAAATTAAAATTAATTTATTTAAAGAATCATCAATCTTAATACTTTTGCCTGCTTGGTTATTTATTTTTATTGTTCTTTTATTTTTTATTATAAGTAAAAAGGATAAAACATGGAAAAATTAAAAGAAAATATTTTAGAAAATTTTTCAAAGTTTTTCTGATCAATAAAAAAATTTTTTTTGAGAATTTTCTTTTTTATTGTAAATTGTTTATATAATATTTAATTTCAATTAAAAATATTAATTTTTAATTACACACTCGGACAAAAGTATCGCATCAAGCAGCAGTGACAAAAAATTTTCCTTATAACTTTTTTTTTTTGTTAAAATGATATGTTTTTATTGTTTCGTTTTTTGAATGGCCTTTTAAATTAGTTTTCGTTTGAGCTAAATATAATACAGCTCAATATGACGATCTTGAAATTCATGGCCATTGAGTAATTCCTATCCGATTTTAACGCGGACAAACACTTTGATGCAATACTTTTGGCGTGCGTATCTGTTTTTTTCTAAATTTCTTTATTAAATTTTTGAAAACAAAAATAAAATTTTCAAGAATTGACCTCATAATTAAAAAAGCTTTTTTCTTAATTTATTTTTTATTTTTCTAATTTTTCTTTTCTTAAAATAATTTTTGAATTAAAGAAATAATTTAAACTCTTTTTTTATCATATTATTTTTATTTCCGTTAGCAAAACTTTCTCACGGCATTTTATTATTTGCTAATAAATATATTAATTAATTTCCTAAAATATATATTTATTTATTTCCTTTTTTATTATTATTTAATTGTTAAAAGGAAGTCAGTTATGTATTTTAAATTAATTATTTAATGGAAGGAAGAAAGGGGGGTTATAATATAATTTTTGAACTAAATTGCAAAATTTCCTTTTCCACATCAGAGATCCAAACCATTTTTTCTCCTCAGAAAATTTATTTTATTAAACACCCTCCACAAAACAATAATTCCATTAATCCCTCCCCCAATCCATTTTTTGCAAGACTAACAATAATTTAAAAAATAAATTCTATGTATTTACCATATTTAACTTTATAACTTTTTTTATTGTCTATGTACCTTAAAAATTATTTTTAAATAAAACAAATCTCAATAGAACATTTTGATTATTTAACGTTTACTACTTTTCGTATTTTTTTAAATTAATTTAAATTATTTCCTTATTTCTTCAGTTAAATTAAAAAGAAAGGGTGCTTATTAATGACTGAGCAAAACAAAAATAATTTATTTCCTCCAAGCTCCACATCAGGCAATTCGGGCAGCTTAATTAATTCCCAATCATCACCAACAACAGAAAGCCTTTCTTTTCTATTAAATGAATTTTTAAATAAAAATAATAATAATTTGGAGACTACAGAATTAACTGTACATCCTGTAGAGGCTTTGTGTTTTACTTGCAAAGTTGGAAAAATTTTTTTGTGAAATTAAAAAAATTTATTTTAAAGATGTTAGCAATTTTGATTTATTCTGCTTTAAGTATTGTTGCCTTTGTTGGGAATGCTTTAATTTTGGCTGTATTTCTTCGTTTCAAAAGACTCAGAACCCCAACAAATATGTTAATTGCTAATTTGGCACTTGGAGATTTAATGATTAGTATTTTCTGTATTCCTTTAAGTTATTGGCATGTTTTGGTTTTTGAAGATCAGAGATGGATTTTTGGGGCTTTTTTGTGTAAAACATTTAATTATTTACAGGTACAGTTAAAGAAAAATATTTTTTTTTGTAAAAAATAAAAAAAAGAAAATATCCTTATAAAATATCCTTTAAAATCAAATGATTTTTGTGGGGTTTCTAAATTTTGTTATTATAACTGCCAAAAATATTCTTGCATTATTTTTTAAAATTACTCAACAATTTTTATATAGGCGACAGCAGTATTTGTATCCTCATGGACTTTAGTTGCAATTTCTTTCGATCGTTTTATGGCAATCCAATTTTCAATGTCCCCATGGCTCAAAATGAATAGAAAAAGGGCTTTATATGCAACTTTGATTACTTGGGGATTTTCTTTAATTATGGCATTGCCTTTACTTGTTGTTAATCAGGTAATGAGAATGAAGGGGAGGGACAAGGGAGAAGGGAGATTAAAAATTATTTTTTTAATTTTTTAGTTAGAAAGTTCATCAGAAGGTGTTGATACTTGCCTTGAAAAATGGAATGATTTTTTTTCTGATTCTTTTGTTTCTCTATATACTTCCTCACTTTTTGCTTTACAATATTGTTTACCTCTTTCTGTTTTGTTAATTACATATACAGCTATTGGATGTAAAATGTGGAATAGTAAAGTACCTGGAAATGATTGCCAAATATTACCTTCATCACAAGTAATTAATTCTAACAAATATATAAATTTATTTGGAGTATTTATTGTGGAAAAAAGGGAAAACGGAAACTAAGGAGGAAGTGATTTAAAATTAAGAAATATATTAGTGAAATAATGAAAATAGATATGTAGCTTAATGGAATATTTATTTCCAAATAAATCCATGTGCCGTCTTTTCTCGAATTGAGCGGCCGTATCCAATAAAGCTGCCCTTCGAGAAGGGATTGAAAAATAGAGCGGCCGGCCGTTCAATTAGAGATTATAGAGAATACGGTATATGTATCTCAAACCTTCAATTATTCCCTTTTCGTAGCTGTTTATATTTTTCTTTTATCTTTCCCAAAAAATATTTATTTTTCCTAATTTAAAGGAAACAACAACATTATTTAATTCTCTTTTAAATACAAAATCAGCAAGAGGTTCAACAATTAGTGCAGCCAATTTTAACATTTGTCCACAAAAACAATTATTAAAGAAAAGCCCTTCTTCTCAAATTGTTGGAAATAATTCTAATAGAAGAAAAAGTTCTCATACAGTTGTGCATGCAAATGTTAGTCAAGAAAGGAAGGAATCTGTTAAAAAAGTAAATTAAATTGGAAAGATTTTAAATTTAAATTTTGAATTTTAAAGTTAATTCCAATGGTTTTATTAGTCAGTGCTTTATATGCTGTTTGTTGGTTACCACAAAATTTATTAATGAATATTTGGGTAACATATGATTCAAGTGCACTCAATTATCCATATATTCTTTATATTTGGTAGGAAGTTTTATAAAATTATTTTTAAATAAGTAGGGGATTTGGACAACTTTAGAAGAGAGGGGACCGGTCTAAATTAGAACCCCCTTTTCGAATACCTATAGGAAGAAGGTGTTGGACAACACCAGAAGAGAGGGGAACGATCTATATTATAGAAATTCCCTCTAACATAAGACTTTTTTCAAAAATTATTTTCAGGTGGGGCGCCCATACTTTAGCGATGTTTCATTCAATAGTAAATCCATTTGTTTATTACGCAACAAATAGAAGAATCCACGCAGCCTTAAAACATTTACTTCGTTGGTTACCCTGTTTACAAAATGCAAGAAATGTTGCTTTAGCAGAATTTGATCAAACTGCTAGGCAAAAAGCTGTAACAAATTCTTTTAAATATCCAATTGGGGATTCTAGAAGATTAACTCTACATACACAAAAAACTATATCTTTAAGCATGGATTGAAATTAAAATGAAATTAGAAATATATTATTTTGTGATTCTCTTTCTCCCAACCCAACCAGGGCTGATCGAAATTTCGTTTCGTTTCGTTTCGTTTCGTTTCGCTCTTTCGTGCCCTTTTTTCCATTTCGTTTCGTTTCGGAACGAAACAGAAAAAAATTTATTTCGTTTCGTTTCGAAACGAAATAGACAAAATTCCGGACGAAACGAAACAAAAAAAAAGTGAGAAAATACACCCCTAATGATGGGAATTTAAGGAAATAATCATTAATTTTTTAGCGATTTTTGTCTTATGAGCAGCCTAAAATTAAAAAATTTTCGCCTGCGGCGCTGAAAATGGAAGAAATTTGGATTCTTGAGCTCCAAAATTCAAAAAATTTTCGCCTGCGGCGCTAAAAAGGAAGAAAGCTTTTACGGGGTTTGCTAGAGCAGACCAGCCTTCCGTCGCCCAACCTACCATAGTCAGAAATCTTCATTTCTGTGATCTAAAAACAATAAAAATTTTGAAACCTAGATTTGAATATGCTGGAGTTGTACTCCAAATTAGAGTTATACTAAAATTTTAATTACTTTGTGCGGTGGATTAAAAGAGATCTCGAGGGATTAGTGATATTGAGCTGAGATTTGGCAAGATTAATGTGATATTGTGGTATGGGCAAGATTGAGGGGATATAGGTGGATTTTGTGTATATTTGGATTTTATTGATTAAGTGAATATAGGTGGTTTTGGGAGGGGGATATACAAGATATCGCAAGGGATATAGAAGATATCTCGTTTATCCCTCTTAATATCCGTCTTGATCGATATCTAAAGTGGTATACTCCGAAGTAATTTGGATATATCGATGGATTTTAATAGGATATCGGAGGATCGATTTGAGGGGATTAATGGGGATATCGGCAGATCTATAGGACTCACTCATCTTTCTGGGTTGCTTTTGTCACGCATCTAGCTCTTGGGGTGCATATCTATGATTTAAATATCGATAAAAAGCCTTTATGAACTGAAAAATACAAATTTTTTAATTTTTATTTTATTTCGTTTATTTCGTTTCGTTTCGTCCGAAACAAGCTCATTTCGTTTCGTTTCGCTCCGAAACGAAATAGGAATTTTTTTATTTCGTTTCGATTCGAAATAAAAAATATTTTTATTTCGATCAGCCCTGAACCCAACCTTTCAAAAATGCATATATTTTGTTTGCCATAATTTTACAGCCAAATATTGCCTCAATTTTTTTTACATTTTATTTTTTAATTTAAATATAAAATTTATGTTTTTCACAATTTATTTAAACAATTATTCCATCGAGTCTTCTAAAAATTTTTTGTCTATTAATTAACCCTAAAAATAAACAAATATACACATGTATTTATGGTACAATCAAATACAATAATTTACCGTAATAATTAATGAAACACAATATTTATATTATCCCCTACAACAATAAGAATATTATTTACAATCCTACATTCATACAAATTTATCAATAATTTCCTTTTTTATCTTCTTCCTTTCATTTCTTTTCCGGCGTATTAGAAAGCTCGTTAGATTCTTTTTTCTTCTTCTCATCCTCTCCCGGCTTTGCCTCCTCTTTTGCCTTGTCCTTTGATTCTTCTTTGGACTCTTCCTTCTTCTCATCGGTTTTGCCATCCTTTGAACCCTCAGCCCGTTTTTCATTCGAAGCCGATTTAGCTGCTTTGTATTGTTCAATACTATCAACAGGAATTACTGGACTACCCCCTTCGTTGTCGCTTGCAGCCGTAGAAGTCCCATTGAGAACATCGCCAGGAGTTGGTTCGTAGAGGCTTACTTGTCCAGCACGTGCCTGCATAGCAACTGCATATTCGTTTTCGTAGTGCTAATAATTTTAATTATTTTTTTGTTACAAAATTCATTTGTTTCTCACCTCACGCCTCCAAGCAGCAAAGTCCTTCTTCGCCCCGCCTCCAATTTCACCAACAGCATTCGGGCCGGGATCAGCAGTAATACGAGTAACCTTTGTCGGCTGGTTCGAAACGCTTGGAGTTGGCGGATCTGGCTAAATTTTTTACAAATTTAAGCAAACTAAAGGGCAGGTTACTTTAAATTGACGAGCCAAATCGGTGTTTCTCCGCGGCTGGTATGTCTCTAGAATGTTCCTCACATCAAAGTAGGCCCTCTTGCGACGAGTCAAGGCATCAGAGAAGTAGGTGACCCACTGAAAATTTTTTAAGGAAATTGTTCTTTTATTCTGTTTTTGATTGCTTGCCTCATATCCAAAGAAAGCCAAGAACAAAGCCATCGGCAGGACTGCCAGTCGAACGATGAAGAACTCAGAAGTGGCCAATGCCTGAAGGATGCAAACAGCAAAGATCATGGTAGCCAAAGCGAGCACTGCAACCTCGAACCGATATTTACTGAAAAGTGGGTAAATTACTGTATAAAACAAACAAAATTCAAAACAAAATTAAAAGCTTTACCCTTTCGTCTTTGATTCATCTTCGGGCGAACGTGGAGGAGAACCAGATGGCGCAGGAACCTGTTCGCTAGATGAAGACATTTTGAACGTGGAGTTTGCTTGTTGAGATGGCGAAACCAATTATGGTAGAACGACGGTAGAGAATTTGATAAGGTGATAATTTTTCTGGGGTGTTTATATAGACGGGCTTTCAGATATGATGTGATAGGTTTGGAAAAAATAGTATAAAAGCAACGATAATCACTGAAGTTTATCGTATCCAGTCAACTACTGTAAGGATGATTCACCTAGCAGCATTTAAAACGCTTAGGCGGGGGATAAACGATCTAAAAAGGAAAAAGAGAAAGCACTAGTCGATGCCCCGGTAGCTCAACGGTAGAGCTCCTGCATATAGTGAGCGAAAGCGCCTAGCAACAACTAGCAGGTGGTCGCAGGTTCGAATCCTGCCCGGTGGCTAAACTTTTGCAAACTCTTTCTGGTGCCGCTAACAGGGATCCCCACTTGCTGCTGGGTGAACCAGCCGATCCACGGTCATGGCGCTTGACCGAGGGACCGGTCTGATGTAGGGATGGAGATGTAAGGATGATTCACCTAGCAGCATTTAAAACGCTTAGGCGGGGGATAAACGATCTAAAAAGGAAAAAGAGAAAGCACTAGTCGATGCCCCGGTAGCTCAACGGTAGAGCTCCTGCATATAGTGAGCGAAAGCGCCTAGCAACAACTAGCAGGTGGTCGCAGGTTCGAATCCTGCCCGGTGGCTAAACTTTTGCAAACTCTTTCTGGTGCCGCTAACAGGGATCCCCACTTGCTGCTGGGTGAACCAGCCGATCCACGGTCATGGCGCTTGACCGAGGGACCGGTCTGATGTAGGGATGGAGATGTAAGGATGATTCACCTAGCAGCATTTAAAACGCTTAGGCGGGGGATAAACGATCTAAAAAGGAAAAAGAGAAAGCACTAGTCGATGCCCCGGTAGCTCAACGGTAGAGCTCCTGCATATAGTGAGCGAAAGCGCCTAGCAACAACTAGCAGGTGGTCGCAGGTTCGAATCCTGCCCGGTGGCTAAACTTTTGCAAACTCTTTCTGGTGCCGCTAACAGGGATCCCCACTTGCTGCTGGGTGAACCAGCCGATCCACGGTCATGGCGCTTGACCGAGGGACCGGTCTGATGTAGGGATGGAGATGTAAGGATGATTCACCTAGCAGCATTTAAAACGCTTAGGCGGGGGATAAACGATCTAAAAAGGAAAAAGAGAAAGCACTAGTCGATGCCCCGGTAGCTCAACGGTAGAGCTCCTGCATATAGTGAGCGAAAGCGCCTAGCAACAACTAGCAGGTGGTCGCAGGTTCGAATCCTGCCCGGTGGCTAAACTTTTGCAAACTCTTTCTGGTGCCGCTAACAGGGATCCCCACTTGCTGCTGGAAAAGATATATATTTTATCTTTTCATCAGATTTTTCTAAGAATTTCATAACTGAAATTTTATTTTACACCTAACGAACATATTTTTGATGTTATGTATTTGATTATAAAATTTTTGGTTTGCCTTAAGCCCAAAAAAAAAAATAAATTTTTTTCTTTTTCGCTAGCACTTCGATAGATTTTTTTTATTTCTATAACCAGTCTTCGGGCAAAATTAAGGATTTTAATTAAGGACTAATCCAAATTTGAGTTGTTAGTAAATGAACAATTATTTTGTAATAAGTTTCGTTACATTTCAGGTGGTTTATTCTTGGAATTACTTAATTTTCATGACATTGGGGCATAATTAAATTATGTAAACTAGTCCTCAAAGCTTTTATTTTAGTTACAGATTAGAATCAAAACCAATTTTTATTTCTATTCCATAATTGACCTTCATATTTCCCTATTAATTTAATTTTTTTTAAACATACTGGAACATTTTATATTTGTCCTTAGAATTAAGACGCACTGTCGGGTTTTTTATCACAAGATTCAATTTAATTAATTTTATATTGTTAAACGCACAGTTAAATTCTTGCCTAGGCATTTTTTGGGTTAAGTTACAAATATATTTTTAACTTACAACTCACAAAAATTACCCGTTCAGAAAACTTTTCGTTACTCAGTTAGGCTATCTTTAGTTTCAATTAACTAAAAGATTTTTTTAATCCAATTTTATACCGAAAATCTATTCTAAATGTAATTATATTGCGCGGAAATTTTACTTTCTCAGAAAATGCCATTTTGAATTAGACGTTTTAGCCAAGACAGTGACTAAGAGTAAACTTATGATCACAAGGATCCAGTTTAAAAAAAAAGTTAATTAATTAAAATATTTGAATTTATGTTCTACATACATATCATTCTGGGTTGTTACACTCTTTCGGGAATTTAATGGATTTTTAAACTATATTCATTTTTAATGAATAATTTACATTTTCTAATTTACAAAAATTTTTTATATGTAGTATTTATTTTGAAATCAATAGAATAACAGCTCAACATCCTTTATCTCATTTTTCAATACACTTATGTAAGGGGTGAAGAAACGTTTTATACATATTGTAATTAATACTGATCA